GCCGGAGTTTCCTCCAAACTCTGATTCAAGTCTGTGTGGGAACAGAAATTCCACACAAACGATTGAGTAACACTGGAAAAAATCATAAGCAAGACCAAGGAGAGCGGCCAAAAACTCTCAACGACATCACTCCAGGACAAACACAAACATCAAAGTACTCGAGTAAGAGCAGAAAAAGTATTTATCAAAGTACCACTCAAATCAGTGTCACTTAAAGAGGAAGAAATAAATCCCCAAATATCTGATGTTTTCAAAAGACAAACACAAAACTGAGAAGTGAACATAATTATAGATTTATATTTATATGTATTATTTATATAAGAGACTTTTAGACCTGGTTTAGACCTGGTTTAGTCCTGGTTTAGTTCCTGGTTTAGTCCTGGTTTAGTCCTGGTTTATCCTGGTTTAGAAGTTTAGTCCTGGTTTAAGACCTGGTCCTGGTTTAGTTTTTCTGGTTCAAAAGTGAGTCTTTTAGACCTGGTTTAGACTGGTTTAAGTGTCAAGAAAAACTCCTCAAGTCTGATTTCAAACTTTGTAAAACTTCATTTTAAAACTCTGTATGAAACTTGGTCCGTTTTTAGTCCAAATCTGATAAAAAAAACATAAAAAAGTCATAAAAGTGTCGCGGGTTTAGACTCTGGACTCACCGTGACCCGGAGCTCCGAGACCGACGAGCAGCGCGAGGGCCGCCCACAGAGGAGGCATGTTTCCGGGTACCTGCCCCGCGACCGCCCGCTCACCAACACCAACCACCAGAAAAAAAAAACAACAACAAAAAAACCAACAAAAAAACAAAAAAAAAACTCAAATCCCGAAAGAAACTCGAACGTTTATCCGCGTCATGAAAATCCCGCAGTGTCACTTTGATTAAAGCTCTGCTCGCGCGCCTCACGAGCGCGTCCTCTGCGTGATTCACCTGAGACTGAACGCACCTGAGCGGAAACGGACGATGACGCGACACCGTTTCACAATAAAAGCGCAAGAAACGGCGCTGTTGTCCGAATTATGGGTTTTATTTTTGTAAGTAACACGAGAGAATGGACAGGAAGTACTCTGGTATTTACAGCGCGTACTTTATCCGCGTTACATTTACTTTGAGGAGCACTTTTACTTTTACTTGAGTGATGTTTTTATTGAGTCTGTCTTTTTGAAAACACCAGATTTTAGGATTTATTTTATGTTTTGTTAAATGACATTGACTTACGTCCCGACATTTACTCTTTAAATTACTTTAACTTGAGTAGTACTTTCCCCAGATACTTCCATTTGAGTAATCGCTTTTTAAAGTAACTTTATTTTTACTGGAGAACAAATTGTGACAACATTTTTTATTATGTGCGTCACTAAGAACTGGTAATTCTCTAGTAAACTGGCACTATTCTATTCTATTTTTTAATTATTTAAGTTTTTTCAATTTTATTTAATTATTATTATTTATGTATTTATTTATTATATATTTTTTTATTAATGCATTTTTAAATTTTATTTTTATTTATTTAATTTATGTATCTTTGTATTTATGTTTTTTATTTTACATTTATTTAATTTTTATTCTTATTACTTATTATTTATTATGTTATTTTCAATGTATTTTATTTTTATTATTACTTATTATTAATTATTTTATTTTTTATTAATACATTTTTCAATTAATTGTTTATATTATTGTTATTATTATTATATTTATTTTTTCTAATTAATTATTTTTTGTCAATGTTATGTATTTATTTTATTATTTTATGTATTTATTTTATTTTATTTATGTTTTAATTAATTATTTCTTTTTTCATTTTTTTATTGTCATTATTATTATTATTGTTTTATTATTATGATTATTATGATTGTTATTATTTATTTTCTAATTAATATTTTTGTCAATTGTATTTTTATTTATTTAATAATAATAATAATAATAATAATTATTATTATTATTATTTATTTTTATTTTTTTTTTTATTTCAGAAAGTTGATATTTTTAAACGTGTTTTTAAGTGTTTTTTTCTTGTCAGTTCGTCTCGTCAGACTCGTGGTTTCTTGCGCCCCCTGCTGGTCACTCACAGTTTTACACCACCGTCTCCTGCACTGAATTCATCAGAAAAATGTTCCTCACACAAAAATCTGTCCCTGTTTTTGGATGTTGATGACATCATTTTTGTAATTGTAATTTTTTCCCCAACTTTTTTTTATTTGCATTTGTACAACTTTTATATAAACACTCAGATATAAAAATACCACAAGTTTTAAGTACAATTTAGTTTAAAATTCATATAAATTGTACTTCGGTTTAAAGATTTCAAATGACTGGAAGCTCAGAGCAGACGACTTGGACTTGACTTGGATTTAACAGGACTAAACCAGAACTAAACTAGGACTAAACCAGGACTAAACCAGGACTAAACCAGGTCTAAACCAGGACTAAACCAGGTCTAAACCAGGACTAAACCAGGTCTAAAACCAGGACTAAACCAGGACTAAACCAGGTCTAAACCAGGTCTAAACCAGGACTAAACCAGGTCTAAACCAGGACTAAACCACTAAACAGGTCTAAACCAGGACTAAACCAGGACTCTAAACCAGGACTAAACCAGGAAAACCAGGAACTAAAACCAGGTCTAAACCAGGTCTAAACCAGGACTAAACCAGATCTAAACCAGGACTAAACCAGGTCTAAACCAGAACTAAACCAGGTCTAAACCAGGTCTAAAACCAGGTCTAAACCAGGTCTAAACCAGGACTAAACCAGGTCTAAACCAGGTCTAAACCAGGACTAAACCAGGTCTAAACCAGGTTAAACTAAACCAGGACTAAACCAGGACTAAACCAGGTCTAAACCAGGACTAAACCAGGTTAAACCAGGTCTAAACCAGGTCTGAAGATTCTTAAATATAATATTCAGGAAATTCTCATTTTTGTGTTTGTCTTTTTGAAAACATCAGATGTTTTGATTTATTTCATGTTTTGTCAAATTAAATTCACTTATTTATCATGATAAATCAGATTCACCTGATGACATCACAGATTGTGCACAAACACAAGTCCAGTGTTTTTGAGAATCGCTGTCGGCACAAAGAACTTTAACCGTTTTAGTTTGTGGAGCTGATCCCAAACAAACAACGAGAAAGAGAAACTTTAACCACATTCACACAGACCTCGCTTCATCTGAAATGTCACAAATTCTAGAAGGTTCTGATCAGATGAAGAGGGACATTTCTGCTGGTCTTTGTGGCGGTTCAGACGTGTCAATCACACCTCACTCTGTCTGTCTCTGTCTGTCTCTGTCTCTGTCTCTGTTTCTGTCTCTGTTTCTGTCTCTGTTTCTGTCTCTGTCTCTGTCTCTGTTTCTGTCTCTGTCTCTCTGTCTCTGTCTCTGTCTCTGTCTCTGTCTCTGTCTCTGTTTCTGTCTCTGTCTGTCTCTGTTTCTCTGTCTTGTCTGTCTGTCTCTGTCTCTGTCTCTGTCTCTGTCTCTGTTTCTCTGTCTCTGTTCTGTCTGTTTCTGTCTGTTTCTGTCTCTGTCTCTGTCTCTGTCTCTGTCTGTCTCTGTCTCTGTCTTCTGTGTCTGTTTCTGTCTCTGTTTCTGTTTCTGTCTGTCTTGTCTGTCTCTGTCTCTGTCTCTGTCTGTCTGTCTTCTGTCTCTGTCTGTTTCTCTGTTTCTGTCTCTGTTCTCTGTTCTCTGTCTTGTCTGTCTTCTGTCTCTGTCTCTGTTTCTGTCTGTCTCTGTTTCTGTCTGTCTCTGTCTGTCTGTTCTGTCTCTGTTTCTCTGTCTCTGTCTCTGTCTCTGTCTCTGTCTCTGTCTCTGTCTCTGTCTCTGTTTCTGTCTCTGTCTCTGTCTCTGTCTCTGTTTCTCTCTGTCTCTGTCTCTGTCTCTGTCTCTGTCTCTCTGTTCTGTCTTCTGTCTCTGTCTCTGTCTGTTCTGTCTCTGTCTCTGTTCTGTCTCTGTTTCTCTGTTTCTGTCTCTGTCTCTGTCTCTGTCTCTGTTCTGTCTGTTTCTCTGTCTGTCTGTCTTCTGTCTCTGTCTCTGTCTCTGTCTCTGTCTCTGTCTGTCTCTGTCTCTGTCTCTGTCTCTGTCTCTGTCTCTGTCTCTGTCTCTGTCTCTGTTTCTCTGTCTCTGTTTCTTGTCTTCTGTCTCTGTCTGTCTCTGTCTGTCTCTGTCTCTGTCTCTGTCTCTGTCTCTGTCTCTGTCTCTGTCTCTGTCTGTTTCTGTCTGTCTCTGTCTCTCTGTCTCTGTCTCTGTCTCTGTCTCTGTGTCTGTCTCTGTCTCTGTCTCTGTTTCTCTGTTTCTGTCTCTGTCTCTGTCTCTGTCTCTGTCTCTCTGTCTCTGTCTCTCTGTCTCTGTTCTGTCTCTGTCTCTGTTCTGTCTGTCTCTGTTTCTGTCTCTGTTTCTGTCTCTGTCTGTCTCTGTCTCTGTCTCTGTCTCTCTGTCTCTGTCTCTGTTTCTGTTTCTGTTCTGTCTGTCTCTGTTTCTGTCTCTCTGTCTGTTTCTGTCTCTGTCTCTGTCTCTGTTCTCTGTCTCTGTCTCTGTCTCTGTCTCTGTCTCTGTTTCTGTCTCTGTCTCTGTCTCTGTCTCTGTCTCTGTCTCTGTCTCTGTTTCTGTTTCTGTTTCTGTCTCTGTCTCTGTTTCTGTGTCTGTCTGTCTCTGTTTCTGTTTCTGTTTCTGTCTCTGTCTTCTGTCTCTGTTTCTGTCTCTGTTTCTCTGTCTCTGTTTCTGTCTCTGTTTCTGTTTCTCTGTCTCTGTCTCTGTCTCTGTCTCTGTTTCTGTCTCTGTCTCTGTTTCTGTCTCTGTCTCTGTCTCTGTCTCTGTCTCTGTCTCTGTCTGTCTCTGTCTCTGTCTCTGTCTCTGTCTCTGTCTCTGTTTCTCTCTGTGGGATTAGATCAGATTAAACGTGCAGAGGATTATTTGCGGCGTCGCTCGCACGTTTCACCAGGACCAGGCTCCTCCCTCTGCTCCTCTTCCTCCTCTTCCTCTTGTCTGGATGAACTGGAAGCAGAGCGAGAGATCAGTGATTTTTTGACCTTTGACCTTTGACCCCGTGGGTCTTTGTCGTGTCATTTAGAAATTTTAAATATTTAAAATCACAGCAGCAGATTTTGTTTCTTTTGTATCAAAATCAAAAAGCTTTTGGTTAATTCAGTAATAATTTGGTCAAACCCCACAATATTGAATTCATTTAATTTAATTTAATTTAAATTTTTTTAAATTTAATTTAATGGGTTTTTTTTATTAAATTTATTATTATTTTATTAATTTTATTTTTTATTTATTTGTGTGTGTGTGTATAGGAATTTTATTTTATTAATTTTATTTATTTATAATCTTATTTTTTTTATTGAACAAATATTTCTTTATTCTTTATTTTATTTTAGAAAGTTGATATTTTTAAACGTGTTTTTAAGTGTTTTTTTTCTTGTCAGTTCGTCTCGTCAGACTCGTGGTTTCTGCGCCCCCTGCTGGTCACTCACAGTTTTACACCACCGTCTCCTGCACTGAATTCATCAGAAAAATGTTCCTCACACAAAAATCTGTCTCTGTTTTTGGATGTTGATCACATAATATTTGTACTTTTTTCTCCAACTTTTTTTCTCCCACAAACAGCTGCTTAAAGGTTCACTGTGGAACATTTCCACTGGAGGAAATATTCTTGATTTATGTCAAATGTTCCACATAAAGATTAAACGTGTTTATGAGGAGACGAGCAGGTCACAGCAGCAGACTCTTGTTGTTTTCTTTGGCTTTAACTTGTTTTGAGTCTTTTCCTGTTCAATATTTGTTGTATATATTTAATGTTGTTAAGAGATTTAAAAAAATGAGAGATGAATTAATTATGATCTGTAATGAATTAATCTAATTAATCTCTGTTTTTTATCTCACCTAAAAATTGCTGAGAAAAGCTTCAACTTGAGGTATTTTCATTTAAATTCATTATTATATTTTTTT